TCTTTACACCGTGAAAACGTTGATTGTATGTTAAAGCCTAGGCCTTCGAATTGTAGTTAAGGTTTGCAAATTGGATCTGCACTTTGATTTGCCGATGATGCAATCATTTGTGGACAATGAAGGCCCAGCTAATGGATTCTTCTCAAAAACGAAGCTATTTAATCGAATTCGAATTCCCAAACTCTTCACCGTAGTCGCTACCGTTTCTGAAAAATGTACCCATTGTAAACGTTTTGCTTTAAAAAACTGTTTCAATGCTTCAACATCTTTTATTTAAATACAGTGGTAGGGGTTTTTAACTGTGTAAAGGTGACGCCATAGACAATTTTGGGAGCCAAAGGTGAAATCATCCCAATATGGCCTTTATTTGCTTTGCAAATCAGCGCCCTGGCACCCTCCAACTACTGAAAAACGCTCAGACTTAACTATCCAGAGCGTTTGGAAACGGAGAATTACTCAAACCTTTCTAAACCATTGACTGACAGTCAATCGAGGTCAAGTCACTGCGGCGACTGAGTAAATAATTCGGCCTAGCGAATTAACTTAAGGCACGGATTGGCCTGTGCGCGCCTTTTTCTATTCAAATAAAGGCCTCCAACGTCAAGCCCCCAGTCATCATTTCTCCCTGTGGTGGCCACTTCATACACCAAATAACACGCTCCAGAGTATAAAACCGTCTGTAGATTGATTATACCTCGAGGACCTCATACCTATGGAGGCTGCTTTAAAGCATTTACCACGGTCAGAACTTATCAACCATACAACGTTGTTGCGATAGAATGGTCTAGTGTTTTAACGACATCATCAATACGATTAACGTTCAACTCCCTGTACTCAGTGAAAGTAAGCCAACTAACTTAACCACAGAATTCGGTAGAAAATTTGCGACAAATAAGGGCATGCAGAACAAAACGTCCACTTAAGTTCATAAGACATCCCAGGCGTTAATGCATCTGGCGAGTATGGATTCGAGTGGTCTACCTGTGACGCCCCTCCCAACAATATTGAGGATTCATTTTTCCGCCTACCCTAGCGACGTCTTAAGAAGAGATGAAGAGGTCACAAGCGACAGCAGCATTTTCCCAGCCGCTGTAGGCATTAGGCCACAAAAATGTGTTGTGCACAAGCACGAAGAAATTACCACATAGTAGGCATTTTCCTTACCATTGGAAGCAAGGCAGTAATACCGCACCTTCTAAGATGACTCAGTTAGATTTGTAAAGACGGTTGCTGCCAGTCTAGCCTAGTCAGCGAATACACTAGCACTATTCAGGCCGTGTATTTGAGCATTTTTGCACCACATTCTACAGCTTCTGAAACTGGCATTTGCTTTTACCTTCATTTGATGTTTTTGATTCCCTAGTTTAACAGAAGTTGAAGTGTTCTCAGCATGAATGCCAACATGCTTCAAATAAGAGTGACATAAAACAGAACAATTCACGAAAGCGGACGAATGGGGCTGAAAGAATCGGTTTAAGCGCTTGCCTCAAGATACTTCAAAGGTTCAAAAGACCAAGTCACCCTACACAGTAAATTTTTTGTTGTCGTGGCAGAGCTTAAACGACTGCGACATGTTATGGCCTCGTTGACAATTAATCTTGTAAGAAGAAAATCAACAAATCTTTTGAGGGTGGATAATTGTTACTGAATTATTACAAGTAATATAACCAAGAATGCAATGATTTGCTTGTATGACTACCTTGATGGGTGGCTTTTTCTTTAACCACTACTTTTCCTCTTAGAAGGCTGGTCTCCGAGACAAACGGAAGCCTCATTTGTGGCGACCTTGGAGTTCCCTTTATCATTAATAAGGAATTAAGTTGGGTCAAATGTATGCATTTATGAGAAGGAGAGAAGACTGGGTTTTGACTTAATCCAAAGGGCGGTCCACGTGCAAAAGAGCAAGGTGAACAATAGAGCAGGTGGCACATATGCAAGTTGGCACGTAAACAAGGTATTACGTAATTTATATAATTTCTCTCTTAATGCTCAGACCAATTCCAACTAAATGGATAGACTCAAAAAATGCGATAAATACGTGACAAAAGTCAATCTGGCACAAATATGGCGATTTCTGTACACGTGAGCTGCCCTTCAGACCACACTCAGGCCCCGTTTGCCCTGTTGTCCTAGGAATACATGCGTTCAACCTAACTTATGCCTTCTTTCACCCTATGCGAAGACTCGGGAAGCTACAATTTCGTTTCAGGATGTCTTCGTAACCGTCGAAGCTAGAGAAGAACGATGCCCAAATATTTTAGATTTGCCGCTTACGATTACTTTATGTATTGTGCGTTTGCAACTCTTATAAGGCATATCACACACTTATTCCCATGTCTACATGCTCATTGTAACCAGGATGAATTGCGAGCACAAATTAAGTTAGTGCTTATAGTTTAAGAAGCAACTCCAACAATCTTCTAGAAAACATATTATTTACTATGTAAAAATTATTAGTTAACTTTAAGTTTATTTATAATATTTTGGGCTAATAACGATTGGCAATATTGTTTAAACTTTCTTGGACGGAAATTATTACAAAATTGACATTGCTAGTCTTTAAAACCATTGGCGGACGGGGTGTGAGGGTCTCGTGCGTGTAGCCGTCTGGTGTGTTTTCTTCGGGATCAAACTTCGAAGATAGGATGTCAGTCGATCATAGGCCAATGACTAGGCTGCGGTCATCTGTTAGATCTTTGTCGCGTGGTGGTACTTTTTTTACTAAGCCTATGTTTCCCAGCTATTGAGGTTCAGTGTTTGAGCGGCGTACCTACCAACGGTCTTCAACGTTCCCAATCAAGTTAGCTTTCTTTCTGATAATTTCTGGCTTTTAAGTATCATTTGAGCTGTGCAGCATTTAGTGCATCTTGTCAGTGTTCTTCTTTAAGACATTGTTGATCTGTTCTTTATACGCTGTCTCACTTTGTTTTAGTGGTGTCAACTACAAGGAGTGCTCTCAACGTGGAAACTAGGAATCCTTTACTGAGCACTAAGAAGGCACAGTTGTCTTCAACAGTGAGGATGAATTGGGTTCATAACCAATAATTTTACCATAGTGGGAAGCTATTGATGATTACTTCATGAAACGTCCTGCGAAGACAAGCAAACAGACGCTGGCAAAACTGCGAGCAGACCGTGAAAATGGGTTATTTGATCTGAAGGAACTCGAGTCTTTGTTAGCAGACTACAATTCTCCTCATATTGATATTTTGGAGCAGCGTCTTCAAAAGCTCGGTGATGCTCTGTTGCCGAATTTTCGCGTATATCTTATGTATGTCTTCATGGTTCCATGTATTTACGACTCGGCGGTGTTTCTAACATGGTTTTCATGTTTCTTAGGGAAGGTTTCAACATTATCCTTTATGGGGTTGGTTCCAAGTTAAGATTATTGTCTCGCCTGCGGAGTGAGTATTTGAATGGGGATAATTGTCTCGTGGTATCGGGCTACTCATCAACCATCGGTATTCGGAAGGTTTGCATATGTGTCATCTTTGTTATTTTTTCTCCGCAGATTCTCAACGTAATTATTGATGAAGTGATGCAGATAGAGGATGCGCCTGCTGGCATAGATAAGCGTTTGGATCTTATCATTGATCACTTTTCTCGACCTAGTCAGTTCTAATATCTGTCACAAGTATGAATGCGTTGTTCTCTGAATAATGTGTATCTTTGTTTGACTCGCGCAGCTGCAGCAGATGCCCCTCTCTTCTTGCTAATCAACTGCATAGATGGAAGGAATCTGCGCACTGCAAGGGTTCAGGCCATTTTAGCTCGTCTTGCCGCAGTCCCACACATTCACATTGTGGCTACTATGGACAACATTAATTTACCAATATGTAAGTTCATCTCGGTTGAGTCATAGCTTCAGCTTCTCACCAATCCAATCTTCAAATAGGTTACTGTAGATCTACAACAATGCTACATACTTCAGTTAGTGGAGTTTTCTGATAATTACATTTTCGAAACCGAATTTCACTCATTTAGTCATTTTCTCAAGGATGACTAAACACAACAGTTAACAGAAGTAGATTTCTACTCTTAGTGTGCCAGGGATTTTAACATGGCTATCTACTGGTGCTTGATCTCTAACCAAATTGTCACAGACGTGGGCGGTAACATCATTTTCGCGTTCGTTCGCTTTGCCAGTATGGTCTCAAACGGAAGTTTCAAGGTTTTCCTGGATCTGGGAGGAATGTTCGACTTTATTACCCTATTCAATCGAGGCTGGGTTCGCCAGCAGTCATCTGCTACAAGAACTATTTGGAAGTACTGGAAACGTGGGCAGTCAGTTGACTGATCGACACGTCTTTCTCAACCCCGACGTTGACGTGGTAGCGCTCACACGACTGCGACATGTCATGGCCTCGTTGACAAAAAACGGGTGCGACATTTTCCGTCTATTAGTGGAGTACCAAATTCAAGCAGTGGAAGAGGCTCAAGCTGATCTACACGAAAAGAATGCCACAAAGATAATTGGTCCTAAGGCCTCTTTGAAGAAAAGCAGAAGGAATGAGGAAGGAGAAGCAGGTAGACATCCTCATCTTTTGCTAGTCTTGTCGATTGGTGGTGAAGTTTGTCTTTTCCGCTGTTAGCGCCCAAGGGGATGCCACTGGAGGAACTTTATTGGCGCTGTCGTGATGCCTTCTTGACCAATACAGAAGTCAATCTGCGGGCTCAACTAACCGAATTCAAGGACCACAAACTCATTAAGTTCTTGAAGGTTTGCTTACTCATAATTCCTATCGTTCCTACAAATTATCTTATCTTTACCTATATGCTAATTTTCAGGATTCTGATGGAACTGAATTGCTCTGTATTCCTCTCGATCTGGCCAGTCTCAGGGAAATTATTGAAAATAAGGAGATGTTTCCTTAATTGGATAAAAATAAAGGATTTATGTGAACACCTTTCTGCAAAAACTCATTCCACAACTGGTGTTTATGACAATTGGGGTGCTGAGTGGTTTGACGGTTTTGGTTTTGGTTTTTGTCTCTACTCTTAGGCTTCTACTTACACCCTCTAGATCGACTAATCCTGTCGTATATTAGTGTCATTGTCTATTCCGAATCGGTAGATACTTGTAACAAGGAGGCAGATGTCGATTTTCAGGTTGCAAGATGTCACCATTATTAGTTTCTGGTGTTTTAAAGCAATTGCGGCCTCCTCAATCCATGGCGTACGGGGCCGGCACTTTGGAATGGGCTGGAAGGTTGACGTCGTTCTAAAAGAGTAAACGAATTGGTCAACCGAAGTTGTCGGCTTCGGCTTGTTAGTGTTCATTTCATCATATATTTTGTTTTCGCTTGGGGGCTACCGTTATTACTGTCTGGTACTGATTACCTGGCCTGTTTCGAATTTCTGTTCCCGTGAAGTTAGCATCGTTGTCTTACTTTCGTTACATTCACCGCAAAGACAACTGTAATTTTTCTCCTACCTACTAGTACCATTGCAAAACTATTTTCGTTCCTTTATTTTTTAGGTTTCCAACTTACCGCACGACGCGGAGATTTTGTGGAGAATCTATTGGACTCGATAGATCCGTTGTGCGATATTTTATTGGAGGTTGATCGTCTTCCAACCTGACTTTCAGCGATAACTTCTGGTGCCAAATTCGGCATCCAAGTGCACTTCTTGTGTCTTGCTTCCGTTATTGTCTTTGGGCGAGCACTCTTAAAAGAACGAAAAGTTGTTAATAACCCAGCCTTGATAATGAGTTTAGAACAATAAACTGGAAAGCCCCAAGCAGAAAATTCAAGGAATTCAATTGATTTAGTGATAAAGCACTTCATACACCTCAGATGCAGAGAACCCCCCAATGAAGTGCCTTTAGGCTCACTTTTATCTTGCTCATTTAGTTCGATGAGTAAATGCTCAACAGAGGGCAGTAGGACTGCTTCGCAAGATAGTATCACTTTTAGTTCTAAGTAGTTATTCACAAGTGTCCAAAAGTTCTCGAGATCATTGTTCCAGGCGTGGAAAAATGGAACTGCTAAAGAACGTGACATTTGAACAAGGGTTAGTCTGGTTGCGTGCATCAAGACTTTGACGACCTCCCCTCAAGGACTGCTGTTGCCATAGAGATTTAATTTAGTTTACTTTCTGGTGAAATGAGTCGGCTGAAAATTTTGACCTCCAATTACCTTCACGCAAAAATACTCACAGGATCTTGGATTTGCTTTGATGTTACGATCAAGTGCGCTAGACGGGTTTATATTCCAATGATTTTCCCATCAGTTTTCAGTATCCCTACAATAAGCAATTTTATATCAAATCACCAATTTACTACGAACGAAGTGTTACGTACTCGCATTTCCTCCACCGTATAGCTTGGAAAGTCGATTTGATTGCATGTGCGTTGAAAGTCCCACTTCTTGGAGTCCGATGTGTTTTGCGATCTAACCATTTTGCTGATAGACTTCTCCTCAGTGAACCACGGAGGCCGAATTGTATGCATCACCGGAGATCTTTCACGCATTCTGCGTTCAAGCAACTCCTTTTGAGCTTCACCAGACCCATCGGTAGTTGGTCGAGTGAGTTCCAGTCCAGTTTGTGAATCACTGTGTGAAGGATCATGATTTTTTACCGCATATTTTTGAAGTAGACTGGATTCAAGATCAGTAAGGTAGGCATGACCACTTGTTTCTCCGTGGCTTCTCTGTTCTCTTTTCAGCATTTGACGCTCCTTTGCTCTCTTTTTAGCTTCCTCCATTATGTGCGCATCGCCTGATCCCAAATCGCTAAGATCTTTTTCATTCTCAAGATGCGCGGCTGCATTCGCTTGCGTAGTTAAAGGATAACTCTATAGGCGTGAAATATATTCTCAACTTGATCACAAATGATCTCATTTTAGTTATTATTGCACGAACCTTTTGGTCACTTGGTCCCATTTCTATTTTTCCCGAAGCACTGCTGCTGAGACTAGTAGCTTCGGCTTCAATGGTAGAAATATGTGACGGCTTGAGGACCTCCATTAAAGTTGGAAGATAGCCGCGCATTGACGCAGCAGTTAATTACGTATTCAAGGATGCTTAAAAAATTTATTAAAGACCTTAAAAAGTGGGGCATTTCGGCATAATAAAGTGAGATTCCAATGTCTGCCGCTCAAATCTGGTGCAATGACATCCCCAATACATATACTCTGTCTCAAAAAGAATTTTAACCCTAAGAACTCACATTCGGCTGAATTATTTGCTCCAACTTGATCATTATGAAACCCCTAGATTCATAGAGTAAATTGATTATGCACTCAACTGCTATATCATTCACAGAAGATGAAGTTGCTGCGGGACGGACTCTGCCAAAAGATTGCGATTTGATCTAGAAAATTTCTTTTAATATGGGAGTGAAACCTCCTCTGGCAATAGGTTTTTAGCAGGTTTCCACCAATCTCCATAACTGTACGACTTAGTTGCACCGTAATCTATCCTACCTGCAAAATTTATCAAAACAAAGAGGTACATGGAGGAGAAGTCGGTGGCAAAACATGAGTCATAGGATCTTCTTCGTGTTCGCTTCCGAATAGTGAGGTCGGCTTAGTTAGAAAATGACGTTTCCCTCTCATTATTCAATCCTGTGCGTCCTTGATAAATCAACTGCGCGCTGATATGACGGTATCCGAAATAATCGGTAATCAAGACATACTAACACATTTGGGGCACCTTACATTTACTATGTGATTTATGGTGAACCACGAGCAAGTTAATCCAGTTTTTTACAAATAAGCATACGCTTACGCCAATCGTGAAGGAATGATGATGAACAGGGTATGCTAAAATGTAAAAGTGGCAATCTTAAAGTGCATCATTTCTGTCTATTGTTGGATTGTTTAATCATTTACTTAGCTGTTACATGTAGCATTCCAAGACTTCCCATAAAGTGGAAGAAGGCAGTAGATGTGGCTGGATACATGCATTCCGAAGAAAACAGAACAAATGAGACTGAGCATGGCCCGAAGGACAGCCCACGAGTACAAGGGCCAGACAAATACTAAGGTTGTAGTGCTTTGTTTATGTGACAGCCAGACGTTTGGCAGTCACTTTAGAACTTGTCTGGCCCCTGTACACGAGGGCTGGCCTTTGGGTCACGCTCAGACCCCATACGGGACAGTGGCTCATCTCGTTTCCCTTGTACCATATATGTTTTAGACCAGAGTTCCACCATCTATTCCTGGAAGCAATTGATGGTCAAGAGGTGTATGTATGCGGCTCCGAATCTGGTTGTCAGACCGAACGTAACTGCAGATGCAGTTGAAGCTGCCGAGAAGACCACGTACGGTTCCTCAGTCTCATTATCTGTTGACTGGCGCGGTTGGCTGGTGGGTGCTTTCACATGGTGTTGAATATGTTGTGATGGTTGGCGCGGGAGGTGAACCAAAGGGAAGCGCCGAAGACGTCGTTCAAAAGTAGAGGGAGGCAGTGAACGCTTTGTTTATGTGACTATCGGATGTTTGGAAGTCACTATAGAAATTGTCTGGCTCTTGTACACGTGAGCTGGCCTTCGGGCTACGCTCAGATCCCATTTGTCCTGTCGTCTTCGGAATACATGTATTCAACCTCACTTATGCCTTCTTCCAACCTTTGTGAAGCCTCGAGACGCTACAAAGGTCCGACTCGTATCCTTTCCCCTCTCTATTGCACATGTATTCAATTCTATTTAATGTCGTTTTATACCCAGTGGCAATTCTCGGGACGCTGCAGCTAAGTGGCAGTCAGTTAGGAGGGCATGCAGTTTTGACGGATGAAGTGAATTTAAAGCCATGCTAAAACACAGCCCCCTTCTCTTCCGTACTATCATGACTATAATACTAAGTGCTGTGTTCACTAATATTTAATTTTAACTCCATAAAACCAAAAACTGAACCTTCTCAGAGAACTTGAAAAGAGATAGAATTCCATTCTATGGAAGCCTCGGACGCTACAAAAGTGACCGCCAAACGCCAGGTAACTGGGTCAGTTGCAGCACTTGAAGTACAAAAGAGCAGCAATTGGGGCAGATTACATGTGTTCAACTAGTGACTCAATGGCCAGCTCATACAACCAAGGAAGTATTGTCATTAGAGGGAATGTGTTACGCATATACACTGATGTGTTTGGGTTACATTCATAGGGGAGAGGCAGTTGGCCAATTCGGGTACGAATTTCTTGCCTGAGGAACGCAAGAACTCACTTGTGTAGAAATGCCGGATCGCAACATAGAGTTTTAGGACTCCCTCTAGATAGGAGATGGCATCACTTTGGGCCGAATAGTGCATTCCTACAATAGAAATAAGTAGTGGAGTCCTAGCATGGCTCAGATGTTATCTCACGTATAAAATGTCAAAACAATATGAGGTCATATAAACAAGGCATTACATACACAATTTTCTATTCTGTATAGGTCGCCCAATCGTATGAAGCCGGAGGTTGATGTGCCTACAGACACCGTAATAAAAGCTAATAATCGAATGGTCGAAAAATATCAGTGCATTTGCACCTCTTCTATTTGATTTGT